GTTCTTATGTTGTCCAGTCTATGTTCTTATGTTGTCCAGTCTATGTTTTTAAGTTGTCTAGTCTATGTTCTTATGTTGTCCAGTCTATGTTCTTACGTTGTCCATCCATGTTCTTATGTTGTCCAGTCTATGTTCTTATGTTGTCCAGTCTATGTTTTTAAGTTGTCTAGTCTATGTTCTTATGTTGTCCAGTCTATGTTCTTACGTTGTCCATCCATGTTCTTATGTTGTCCAGTCTATGTTCTTATGTTGTCCAGTCTATGTTCTTATGTTGTCCATCCATGTTCTTAAGTTGTCCACCCATGTTCTTATGTTGTCCAGTCGATGTTCTTATGTTGTCCATCCATGTTCTTAAGTTGTCCACCCATGTTCTTATGTTGTCCATCGATGTTTTCATGTTGTCCATCCATGGTCTATGTTGTCCACCCATGTCATTCTTTGCCTTCCACTTGCTCTTAACACTAGGTTATAATTTAAGAGGCGGAGCCTACGAGTTTAAAGTCCATCTTCAAAAGAACCGAGACAAACGGGAAATTTGTGTAAAGTGTCTTTCCCAAGGACACAGAGACGGGCTATACTGACTGACGCTCGAACCACCGAATCTGCAATCTCACGATTACGGGTCCGGTAGCCTACCCACTAGACCACCGAAGCCACTAACCTTCCCGGTCTTAAACCAGCAACAATCTTAGCCTATGATGCAACAACCCCACTGTTATAGAAGCCATGTGAGGCAGCGCGGTGAAATCAAATTGGTAGAGACCTACATAACTTTAAATATCTGCACAAGACAAACGTTCTAAAAAAATTTTTAAAGCGGAAATAATGCTAAGTGACCATAGCCACCCACTGACATTGGAATTTCAATTCACAGAAATTCATTCTTACCAACTGCAGTGAGCCAAAAAATAACAAAAATTCGATGCAAATTCACAAACCTGCGTAAAAATGCCAGTTTCTTCTCTTTGATTATTTTGACGAGCGCCTGATTTCACTAAGCTGCCTCACATATCCTATTCTGCAACCTTAGTTAATGACAACATGACAGCGCGAACCAATCAATGAGGGGTCGGCCGGCTCACGTAACTGGTGTCGTGTGAATCACTCCGGGGCCCACTGATCCCGCCTGGGTGAGCGGACCTCACGCGCAAAACCTGGGCAGCTGACTCACTCACGGCCAGACAATTATTACACATGCGACCTCGAGTCACCCGACACTGGATCAATTTGTTGTGACAGTCAGCGATGACTGGTTTAGTTTTAGTAAGTGTTTTACGGCACTTGCAACACAATAAGGTCATATAAGTGTCGAAGATAAGATGTGTTACAAGAGAGTAACAAACATAAAAAAGAAGGAGGAGAGGTAAGGACGATAGATGTTTGATAGGAAAAAAGAAGCAAAGAAGCAAACCACACCAGAGCACCCGCTAACCACCCACACACTGGATCAATTTGTTGTGACAGTGATGAGACGTTTGAGCGTGCCGTGCTAGCTAAGAGTGTGTCAGTCTCTTCTTTTGTTTTAGTGAGTGGTTTACGGCACTTGCAACATAGTAAGGTCATATTATAAGTGCCGAAGATTAGAGTTTAGTTTTAGAAAGAATTTTACGGCACTTGCCGAAGATTAGAGGTGTTACAAGAGAGTAACAAACACAAAAAAAGAAGGAGGAGAGATAAGGACGATAGATGTTCGATAGGAAAGAAGGAGCAAACCACACCAGAGCACCGAAGATAAGAGGTTTACAAGAGAGTAAGAAACCCAAAAAAGAAGGGAGGAAAGATAAGGACGATAGATGTTCGATAGGAAAGAAGGAACACCCACCAACCAACCACCCACTGACAGAGACGGTGATATAACGAACCCAAAAAAGGAGGCTGTAAGAAAGAGAATAAAAGTAAAAGGAATTTTTAAGAACAACAATCCATTCTAAACGAATTAACGAGGATTGTATTCGAAGATTTGAAGAATGGCGCCGTTACAAAGCAATAAAAGCCACGGTATTGTCGACTCAAAAACACATAATGATGAATCAAAAAACACAATGATTATTTCAGGTGATAAATCTACCTGTGCTGTGCACAAAGAAGTGGAGTGAATGCGGGAGGAAGTGTGTGTGTGTGTGTGTGTGTGTGTGTATGTGCGCGCGTGTGTGTGCGTGCGTGTGTGTGCGCGTGTGTGTGTGTGTATGTGTACAGTGTGTGTTGTGTGTGTGTGTGCGTCTGTGTATATGGGTCGGTGTGTGTGTGTGTGTGTGTGTGAGTGTGTGTGTGTGTGTGCATGAGTGCGTGCGTATGCTTGCTTGAGTGTGTGCGCCGGCGCGCGTGTGTGTGTGTGTGTGTGTGTGTGTGTGTGTGTGTGGAGGGGGAGGCGTGGTGAAGAGAAGGCAGTGGGCAGAGGGAATATGTGTGTGTTTGGTTCTAAATAACTGTAAGTTTTCACACAATAAGGTCAGATCAAGGAGGATAAAAGTTTGTTTTACGCTCCTTGGGTCATATAAGTGCCGAAGATTAGAGTTTTAGTTTAGATTTAGTAGATGTTTTACGGCGCTCGCAACTGCATAAGGTCATATATAAGTGCCGAAGATTAGAGGTGTTCCAAGAGAGTAACAAACATAAAAAAGAAGGAAGAGAGATCAACAAGGACGATAGCCTAGGAGCAAATCACACCCATTAGAAGCACTGATAAGAGAGGGAAAGAAGGAGG